TTCAAGTGGGATTTCTATCACTCCTTTTTCTTCTCGTATACTGTTGTCAGTACTATCGGTGAGTGGCGGTAAATTATAGTTATTTATTTTAGACCAAAGTTTACGATACTAACTAGGCAAACTAATCATAAGAATCTAGGTATGGAATTGAATCACCCCAAAAACAATTTTGCAATATTGAAGTGATAACTTTTTTGACTAGCTGCTCCGGTGCGCCCGTTGTAGAATTATTTTTGAAGGCTATGTCGATGAAAACTAAAGCTGATTATGATGAAAAAACCGCAGCCAAGTATCAAGACAAATTATTTTGAAAAGAAACACCCCCTTTATTTATACACTAATCAGTAATCTTGTTATCAGATTCTTAACTTACTCTACACAATAGGTTAAAATTAAGGATTCGTAGAGACAACAAAATTAAATCACTTTCAAAATGAGTTGGAAATGGTTATAATAATCAAGATTCTTCTTCGTCTTTCAGGTTATGGTAATCTGGCCCCAACCACTCACCTGTCCCGAATCCTGATGATCTTCTACGGCCTGTTCGGGATACCCATCAACGGTATCCTACTCGCAAACCTCGGTGAATACTTTGGGATGCAGGTAACTTTTTTACCTAGGTATTTAAATTTTTTTCTTAACTCTTGCGGTCACTTTCTTTACAATGCACTCACTCTGTTTTAATTAACTTTTTGATTAAAAATGTTTCAATAACAATACACGCCTAAATAACTCTAACTTTCTTTTGTTAAAGTTGCTTTCCTCAGTTAATAAGTAACATCCGCGTTACATTTTTTAAAACTAAGAACAAAATAGGCTCCAGGTGGCGCTATATGGAAATCATTACCTAAATTACTGGCAATGATTATTAGGTAACTTTTTCCAGATCTTTATAAAAATATCAATAGATATTTTGTAATTGCAGCATATTCACCATCAGGTGATCCGTCTGCTCGTTTGCCTCCTGTCACATAAAAAAAATTACAATCTATAAACTAACAAAATAAAAACTATGCAACAATGACGATGGTAATGGCAATATGAGTAGTTTATTATAATATTGCACAAAAGTTAACGGCAGGCACCACCACCACACTGAAATTATAATATTTCTCCCGGCACCATAGCTCTTGGTCATAGTCTGTCATTATAAAGATAATACAAAAGTAGAATCAATTTTTTTTCATGCTCTCACTCAAACAAATCTTTCCTTTTCCAGCTCATATCCGTTTATCGCAAATACAAGAAACGCAACGAGAAACGTGCAGACAACCTGGACTACTTCTTCAACAACCTTGGCATGCTGGGCCAGATCTTCCTGTACCTGGTGCCAGGGTTCCTGTTCTTCATCTTCCTGCCCGCTTGCATTTTCGTCGTCTTCGAGGGCTGGGACTATGTCGCGTCGATATACTACGCCTTCGTCACGCTCACTACGATTGGTTTTGGAGACTTGGTTGCAGGTAATTTGAAAAAGAATCAGATCTACGCCATGTTTTATGATTAGGTAATGCTTTTTGTACTGGGCTCATATCCTGTTACTACCACACATTATGTATCAGCAAACATTTGTATAAATTGAATTGACTTTTATGATTCAAAACGCGACTCTTTCGATTTTCTTTCGTAGAAATTACTAATTTTTTTTATAAGTTGTGCGTGGAATTAATATTATGTTCCCATTTTTATGGATCTTTAAAAGCAAAAGTTCTTTCCCTAATTACTTTTTATTAATATTCCAGGCACAGTCAACAACGGGTTCAAATACGGCTACTTCTTCACATACCAGATCTTCCTGATAGTCTGGATCACCTTCGGCCTCGGCTACATCGTGATGCTTCTCGGCTTCATCACCAGCGGTATGAGGTCCGAGCGAGTGCACCGCCTTGAGCAAAAACTCTCCAACCAGTTCAAATCCACACAGAACAGAATCTTGCAAGGATTCACCCGAGACATCGCAACCATCAGAAAAATCATTAACGAAGCAAATCTGATAAAATTAAAGGTCAGTTTTTATGAGTCGCTAAGTTCACCTTGTTTTCCGTAAAAGTAACTTTGCAAATCGTAAAATAGCGAGTTATGGAAATATAACTGCATCCTCTTAAGTTAATAAAATTGAGATTGCTATAAATTAGTTTAGTTACTTCGCACAATACAATGAAAAAATATTATTATGAAATAAATTGACGCAATAAGAATCTGCTAATTAATAATTTTGAAAATATTATGCTCGATTAATCTCCAACTTACTGATCTCAAAAGTAACGCAGGACTAAAATATTTTTTTAACTGACCAGATTTCTATAATTATTGTCACCGTCGATCGAAGTTATTTCGTTGGTTATGTAGACTATGTATGTTTATTGTAAACATTGTAATAATTTATTATAATTTTCTCTTTTTCAGCCTGTCTACGTGGAAGCCGCTCCATACCTTTACAGAAGTGCGAGCTGTCCAAACTTCACATTTGATGTTGAGCCCCGAGTGCCTACATTCAAAAGAAAACGAGCAAATTCAGAAAATATACAACTTTCTGCCAAGGATATGCTTCGAATACAATCCGATACAGATTTACTAGGAATTGATAAGGAAAAAACATTCACCGCCTCAGCAATCGTTAAGCCAGCTGAGTTACTGGCAAGAGTTGTGAATGTTCTTGGAGGCTTAGAGCCGCAGCAAGAAAAAGGAGTTCATATGTTTGATGATGACCACATACTCGCTAGTGAAAGACCACCAATGTTTAGTATTGGAGAGAAAAATATTATCAGCAACTCACCAAAGAGAACTCGAGCCTTGAGCGTGGCTGTTCCAAATTACAGAAAAGAATCTGTAACGTCACCTGTAAATATGGACCACGATTTTACTTGGACAAATGGAGATACAGCGGAGAAGTTTAGAAGAGAAGCTAATTATAGGAGTGGTAAACTATCTTTACCCACACATGTGGCGCCGGAGTTAACTGAAGAGCAACCGAGAAATTTACTTTCTAGACTATTTAGGAAATCAAGTTCAACGGAAAGTCCAGCGGAATATATTAAAAATACTATGAAAGGTAGATCTAGTGGAGCACAAGAGGAACCTAAATCAAAGCCCAGACGTGGCAGTATATTTCCGACTTTCAATCTGGGAGGTGGAGAAAAGAATGAAGAGCATTCTTATTTAGAGAAAACTAAACGAGGCCGACACAGCATTTTCCCATCATTCGATTTTTCAGAAGACGAAGATACAGCAGCAGTTAAAGCGTATCAACAAAAAACGAAAAGGCACAGTATTTTCCCTACTTTTGATTTCAGTGAGGACGACGAAGAAAGTGCTGCTAAATCTTATAAAGAAAAAACAAGATCAGGTAGACATAGCATATTCCCAAAATTCGATTTCAGTGACCTCGAAGACTCAGATTCAGCGACACGTTACAAAGAAAAAACTAAACGAGGTAGACATAGTATTTTCCCTACTTTCGACTTCAGCGCTGATGATGACGAAGACGATGACATAATTGACGAGGATGAAGTCCAGAAATATCACAACCGAACAAAGAAAGGTAGACTCAGTTTATTCCCTACGTTTGGAAGGTCTAAAAAGAGTGACGATGAAGCCATGCCTGAAAGTTCTGATGAACTAGTAGAATACAAAAAGAAAACTAGTCATGGCCGAACTAGTTTGTTCCCGACCTTTGGCAAAGACCGCAAAACCAGCGCAGCTGAGGCCGGACCTAGTAGTGATTTAGAAGCAAGTATCAAACAATATCAGGAACAGACGAAACGAGGACGCAAAAGTTTGTTTCCATCATTTGGTAAAGATCGTAAATCAAGCGCAGCTGAAGACGGTCCCAGTGATTTAGAAGCAAGTATTAGAGAATATCAAAACCAGACAAAACGCGGTCGCAATAGCCTATTTGCTGGTGATATCGACAAGTATAGAACGTCCACAGCTGGTGGTCGTGGAAGTTTATTCGATGACGAGCTGGAAAGATATAAGAACAAAACTAAACGAGGCCGCGGAAGTCTTTTCGATCCCGATGTCAACATGGCAGAGCTCCCTGAAAAGGAACAGGTTAAAGTGCTTGAACAAACAAGTGTTGCAGATCTTATACGTGCACTAGCTGTTTTGGAAACTGCCTCAGGAAGCACTGAGCCTGCGGGGTTGTTAGATTTCATAACTGAGCCAGCTCCATCAAATACGAGAAGACGTGGTTCACTGAGACCCGACTTCGTATTGCCTATTGTGCCTAGGGAGGAGACAGAAGAAGTGGTTGGTCCTCGACGCAGAAGAGTTTCGGCCAGGGCTGCGGCCCCTCACTTCGCGCCAACCTTACAAACCGTGGTTGCTGGGGCTGAATTGCAAATAACTGCAGCAGCTGCCAGAGAGAATCGGATGACCATGATTGCTCCTCCTCCTTACTCCGAAACTGATACCAATAGCGGAGAAGAAGCACAGAAACCCCGAGTAAGAAGGTACTCCCCAGCACCTGGTGACCCATCTCGTCCCAGCACTGGGCCGGTACCCAGACTCTTTTCACGCATGCGCAAAGAAAGCGGTACTCCTGAAGAAGGGAGCTCCAGACGAAATAGTCTTACAGACATTGTGATAGACAATAATAAAGACAACACGTAATCTAGTGCCTTTCTAGTTCAATTGTAGTATAAGTAGGTATTTAATTAAATTATTATTAATATTAATTTAAAAGAAATCAATTAAGTTAAATCGAATTATAAGCCGTCCAACCATAATGAGTCTTTTATTACCACTTACAAAACTGCAATCTCAGTCTTCGAATCGAAAATTAGCATTTCTCTTGTTCCATGTTGAAGTTTCAATACTTAAAGTAAAGTATTTAGGTATTCAGAAATACAGCGTGTGTTATGTGATATTATTTAATTAGTACCACCAGGTGTATTTAGTTTAGCCTTACATGTGCGTAATGTTCTTTTCAAGAAAGAAGTTCCAAAGCGGTGGCGCTAGCGTCTATGCAATAATTAGGCATAGTGTCAATTTCCTTATGAATATTTAGTTCTATAAAATTCCGCAATCCGCATCCCTTCTTTCGTAAAAAGGACACACATACACCATACAAACTAATTCTAGGCGTTACACTAATATAGTGTATTTACAACAAAATAAATAAGATTTATTTGACAATTCTCAATTACATTCGTATATTTAAATACAATTAACTTCAATTTTTAAATCAATAACTTTTATGTATTTGTGAAACTTTAATTTAACACAGTCAAGTTGATCGATACAGAACTGAATTACATTTCTATGGCAGTCCATGAGTCTAGCTTATTTACAAAAAATATACTCTACATTAATTCCAAAACAAACTATATTTATTGGTGGTGAATTACGTACAAACTAGTTTGAGTATTCAAAACTTAATAATACAGTACGGTTTATAATACTAACGCTATTTACAAATCAATATACAATATCGTCGTACGTGATCGAAACGTAGAATTAAATTCAGTCCATACAGACGTATGGAGATTATGTCAAGTCTCTTTCAATTGAGAGATGCTATCAATCAAGTCGCTAAGCGGTCTTGTCGGACGTTATCGAGATCTAGTTTGATGTTGGTGTAGCTATCTCTGGGCAGGTCGATTCCGTCTTTGGCGAGGGTTTCGAAGATGGAGATGAGGTTATTGAGTCCGATGAGGTAGCCATCCTCGTGGTTGCCGACCTTCCAGGCGGAGTTGTGGTCGATGTTGACGTTTTCTGGGACGGGGACGGTCTTGGCGAAGTCTATCATCCAGATGGAGGCTCGCCGCTGATCGTGGACGAAGAGAAGGGAGCTGCCGATGAGCTCGTGGGTGCGGAAGAAGTGAGATTCCTGGACGGTGGCGCGGATGCTCTTTAAGCGCTCTAGGTATCGTGGCTGGAACAAGAAATTGTCTATGAGTAAATCTGCTTTGAATACACACTGATTTCATCACAATTATTATGTTGATACTGTCTCTGATAAGTAGCTTAGAAGAAACTAAACTCTGATAAATAAAGAAAATTATTTCACAGGTCTTGAACCCCGCTGTGTGGTACAATTGACCGCGATTATGCCATTTATACTATTCTAAATAATAAACCACTCATAGAGGTACAAGAATCAGTAATTATTTTGTAAACATTTCGTGCAGTGAACAATAGGTTTTTTTTTATTTAGATGCACAAATTGTTATTAATAGGTAACATTGAAGTTTATGTTGCCTAGAAGTTTCTTATTATAATAATAATAAATAATAATAATAAATCTTTGGACAATTTCACACAGCGCCAGCTAGCCCCAAAGTAAGCAACTCAATGCTTGTGTTATGGGTGCTAGCTTTAACGGATATACTACTTATACTTTTTTATTTTTATTTTATTAAATACATACATATTATACATATTTATTGTGAATAAAATGTGATTACGTAATTCAAGAGATCATTGGTCATTTACGTCTTAAACTGCGTTCCTTTAACCTGTCTTTTGCTTACCTACTTCTATTATAAATTTACAAACAAGGTTAAAATGTAATAGTTTAATTTACCAAAATAAAAGTAGCTTCAAGAAGAGGATAAATCTCAATATTTTTGACTGTGGCTTAACTGCTTTTAAGATCTTCAAATACCTTTAGGCTTGAAACTACGTAAGCGGACACCCGGGCGGTTTCATAGTAAACTGCTGTGGCAGATCATAGAAGGGAAAAACTGCCCAGCGCCCCACGAAGGAATACATTCGTTTGAAACCGCGCAGGCGTTCGCTTAACACAGTTTCAAGCCGTTTACTATCATACCTATCTATGACTATATTCCATCTGTCTATCTACCATCTAAATTAGTACTTGTTGCTACTCTGTAACAACATAATTGTCTCAGATTACTGGGAAACAATCGTCTAATTAATGGGTATTTCTCATTTACACTCAAATTTGATGGTCACACAATAATAGTTCATAAACGGTATAAGATAGAACAATAACTTTGAAATCAGATGATTAAATATCTATTTAGCTACATACAAAATAAGTTTTATCGTAATAGAAGCAAAAATAATACGAAAAAATCACATGAAACCATAAAAAACGGGGTCATTTTTCGCGTTCTCATCGTGTCACACCTTCGGTTGCAATGAAACATTTGGTTACTACATTCACAATTTTCATTCAATTTGTGTGTAGCATATACTAAAATCATCGTAATTAAATATACTTTCCACACAATAGTCAAAAAAATATCTTCTTATAATTATTTTGAATTGAGAAAGCGAAATACGTTGGTCACACGATTTTAGGTACCTAAAATTTTGAGTAATAATACAAGATTGCCGTTAAACCGAACACCAACAACCAATCACAGCGTTCTATTCGGTTAACGTCAGTCGCGCTTCGACCATTGGGGAGGCGAGATAGGTTGATCGTCGCTCCGCGAAAAAAATACGTAACTTTTTGTGATTATCCATAGAAATACCGTCGCTTGCTTGAACAATATTTTCTACCTCTAAAATTTAAACAATTTAATTGAAACTTTGCCATTGAACACTTAACATGTTAGACTTATTTGTGTAGTATTCAACTTGAACCGTTAAATTCAAATTTAAGGATAATTCATAAAAAACTAAAATTTTCGTCACCTTCGTGGCATCACCTTCGTGGTGTTTTATACACGAAGGTGATTTAAGGCCACGAAAGTGATTTCTTGCTTTGGTTTATTTTAAAATATAGTGACTGGTGTTTATGTTTTTACAATATTTTAATAACTAATAAATTATACGTGGTAAGTAGAGATCAGTACATCAATAAATAAATAAGGGCCTCGTATTTTTGTTATCTGTCTGTCTGTGTGACTGTATGTATGTCTGTATATGTGACTGTGTGTGTATCTGTTTGTAAGATAAATTTAATCTGAAGTTTGAGTTAAAAGTTGTACAACAAAAATACGAGGCCCTCTGGCCTAAATAAAAAATATATTTTTGTTGAGGGACTGATAATCAGTTAGAGTTCTTTTTTATTGAGGTACTGATAATCCGTTTTTTGCTTCTTTAGCATTTCAGAATGCCACCAGTGTCACCCTTAAAACCAATTGCTTAGAATCTTGTAACTTAGTAGGTGACGTAATCGGTAAAATTTTATCTTGTATTTAAGTAGGTACTATTATGTAGCTATTTATATTATGTTATTGCTATTTATCTATGAAAATAAGACAAAATATATGTTTTATAAACACTTAAGAGTCACTTACAGTAGTAAAGTTTGAAAAAAATATTGCTGTGAAGTACAGAATCACTTTCGTGGCATCAAAAAATTCAAAACGTTAAAGCTTCCAAACCAGACTCACTATTTGACTGATTTACTGAGAATACAATCTTCACATCAAGCGCTACAATTTTTGTTTACAAAAAGTTGAAATAAGTTAGAAATAAAATTCGCCACGAAGGTGACGATGAGAACCGTGGCGATGAGAAATAGCCTAATAATGACAATAGCAGGTGTAACGTCATCGTAACAACGTAGTTTGATGCATCATATAATTACACATCTCGTGTGACTTTTATACGAGTATTATTGTACGTCTATTTTTGTCCTGTTTTGAGATTCCCGCGCTTTTATTAGGCACTTAAAGACCAGAAAAAATTGTTTACGAACTGAAATAATGCGACCAATTGAATACACGAGTAGGATGGCGCATCCTTATTTACACGCTTTTATAAGAGCCTTACTCCTAGTTGAGGGTTTTTTTTTATCCACAACGAGGAAACTCTTGGCCTGTATCTCACCTGATGGTAAGAGATGGTCAGGCCGAAGGTGGAAGCGAGCTTCATCCGGAATCCTCAATTACGGAGGTACTGGCTTTCTTACCTCTAACTGCCGGAACACAACAATGCTGTTAACATTGTTGTTATGGCGACAGACTTAGGTAAGATGGTGGTAGCTAGCCAGGCGGACTTGGAACAAGCCCTACCACCAACCAGGTAGTTAGACTATAAATAGCCAAAAAGGAAATATAAGAGTAGGTATAAAGGGCATTTTACAGCAATCCTCTAAGAGTCTATCTATTAAATCAGATTTATATTGCGATTAAATAATTTGCATTCATTACTAAAACTGGCGTTTTTGGTAAACACTTTGTACGAGCAGTTGTTTTATCGACAACCAGAAACCGCCTCAGAAAATAATCCTAGGTATCCAAAAATATTAAAAGGCAAAACTCACCACAGAATTTGGGAAGCTGCTGGTGAAATCTTTGAACGCCTCCACTATCTGCTCCCTAGTCTTCGTGGTCTTGAAGTCTTTGGAGCTGGTGCCGTCAGCCTTCTTCACCCCGTCGATCCTGAAGCCAAGAGTCGACGTGGAACTGATGGTCTCTCTCCAGATCATGTATCGAGGCTTGGTGACTCCTTTGCTCCGGTGCTCCTCATCGGAAGGTGCCTTTGGGTCTATCTGGATCATCTTTTCGTACATATCCTGAAATTGAGAGAAGTTCAAATTAGTAATAAAAAAAATAAACATATTGAATCGAAGTTCTGAAGGAGCTGGAAATGCTGATAAGAAACTGTTGTAACCCAAGATATATGTAGATAAGAACAGCTTGTAATTTAAAAAAATGCACTTTGGTTCCTATTGTTGGTTTTTATTTATTTATTTTCCACACACATTATCACTATCTTTACAGGTTTTAATTATAATAACAACGAATCTTTGCGAGCGACGCAGGGCGGGTCTTTGTGGAAATCTTTGGGGGTGGCCTTTGTCCAGCAGTGGACGTCTTTCGGCTGAAACGAACGAACCATTACTTTTCTAGATAGACTCGAGTCTATCTGTTCAAAAGGGATGACTAAAATCCCTCCTCTCGATAATGATGATGATTCTGTTTTCAAAGATACTCACTTTCCTCAGCTTGGTCTTCTCCTTGGCCTTGGCCAGCTCCTCCTCGAGGTATGTCCGCACGCCGATCTTGCAGTCCATGACGCACGGACAGTCGAAGTCGCTCAGCAAGTCTTGTAGTTGTAAGTATACTGTGTGATGCTGAGTTAAGGAATTTTTGTGGCGAATGAAATTCGAAATACTTACTTTTGCTTTGTACGAATGATACGCAGATTTAAAGTGCTAATGCCCGTTTTCACCATCAATCCCTAATTTTTAAGTGACCCCATGAAATCAAAATTCCTGTTATGTGTTACCATAGGGGTCACTTAAAAAATAGGGATAGATGGTGAAAACTGGCATAAGACTCTGAAATTGGCTAGAGTTATGTAATAAACTACTCTGTAACATGTAATTATTATCGACAAAGCTGTTGAGTTTTCAAATAAACAAATAAGAAGATCGAATCATCTGATTAATTCAGAAACTTAGAAATGTATGCTACTTAACTATGCATAATTATTCTCTCTAAATAGTCTAATGTATTGTCTTATTTATCTGTCAAGTAACTTGGAACATCCCACAATAATTAACCACAAGCATAAATGATGTATTGTATTATAACATAGACTACATTGACTTCTGTCTAGTGTCTTTAAGAAAAGTTATGAAGCCTTTGTTTATCATGGAAAATAATTCCACTACCTACTCATTAACCTCTATTAAATCTTGAAATGTTCAGATTTTCACTTAATAAATTGATTCGATGTTTTGTATACTAATTATTGGTAAAAGGATACGTTCTCCATCTTCACATGTGACTTGGCCTTTGTACTCTGGGACGAATGGTCGCAGAATATCCTTCATCAGTAACTGTAAAGAAAAAAGACCACTCTTAAATAAAAATATTTTAGTAATATTACACTCAACAGAAAGACTAACTAAAGTTATATAAAATCTCACAAAAAGAGTCACGTAACACAATAGCGACCTGTAGTAATAATAACACTGGCGCAAAAGAAAAAAAAATCACAAATTAAAACAAAATTTGACATTTCAAATCCGTTCTAAAAACAATCGAACGTGCCGTGCCGCGTGCCCAAAATTCAGTTGCAAAAAATATTAAGGCCGAGTTGCACCACCTAACTTTAACCGTAACTATAACGATAACCGGTGCTTTTTGTATGGAGTTTGACATATTTTTGACGTTTGTTAAAGTTAAAATGATATTGTGCAACCCAGCCTAACTTGTTAATGTTATATTTTGAACAAGGCAAGTTCTCAAGACCAACGACGGCGTCACGCATTGTTAACGGGCATCTTGACGTCAGAGTATTATCTGTTTCATGTAAATTAATAACAATTTTGTTGTCAACTTGACTTTCGCTAACTACGGTGAATGACTTCATTTATTTATAAATGACTACATTTCTTTAAATGGTGAAGGAAGAGTATGCATTAAAAGTAGTGTTTGTTGTCAATTGTTTTACAAACAGGCTTTTAAAGTGGATTTATTTCTGCGTATCTATTTATTTAAATAGCTAGTAATAAACTTGGTCTAGTAGACACGTAGGTAGACGATTCAAGTATGAGAGTTGTAATTTTTAGTTGCATTATTTTGCTAAATATGGGATTTTGAAATTAAACCTTAGAAACATTTTTTTTTTAGTATTTGCATACGAATCTTGTACTCGATCAAAGTGCCAATTATTTTGAAAACTCAAGCGATTTTATAAAAGATCAAAACCCAAAAGATAGTCAGTAATAACTCTAGAAATTACTAGATAATTACAGCTTCCGATTCATTATATTAATAACTATTGGACATAATATTTACTGTGTATTTTGTAGACATGTGTGTTTCACATACATTATCATATCAAAGCGTGTAATGACGTTCGCGAATTAATATAATCAGTCAATTATGTGAGCAGTCACTGTTATATTGGATGACTTTCAAGCAAATGATCACGTAGATACAATATTGTCTGATCATCAATCAGAGATAAATAAATATACGCCCGTATTCACAAACCATGCTTGCTTATGTGAAGCAGCAAATCGAACGCACAGTGTTGAATAAAGCTCTGTGCGTCCACGCGCACTGTGAGACCCATAGTAATGATTGTGAATACGGGCGATGGAGTCTTTATGACTAGCGATCGAATTTTATATTGCTTTTCTACCTTAAATGGTGTCCAATAAGGATCATCTATCTACCATAAGCCAAGACTGTACAGTCTAAATTGTATGGTACCTTGTCTCGTGAAGGATTCATTTTAGGTAACACATTAGCAGTCCTTAAACTATGTATTTTTTGAGCAGGGGGTTCTTGAAATGAGAGTGCGAGGAGATATCGTAGTAAAAATTAAAGGTACAAGTTTGACGAGCAGTAGACGAGGTGTCTCCACTATTAAATAACTTCAGATAATTTGTCGCTTGTTAGTAATGGAAGGTACTTCATGGAATATAAATAAACCAGCAGTATTGAGGTAACGCATCGCCTACTGCTGCATGTAGACTTCGACTTCGAACTTGTAGCTTCTTCGAATTAGAATATAGTCGGCTTTCAACTTGTAATTTAAGACTGAAAAAATTCTAGGAACTAGGAACACTAAAAACGTAGATGTGCAGAGTGCTGATGGAACTAAGATTTTATAAGAAAAAGAAGAGAGAGATGAGGGAACGACCACGATCATGTATTTTTGGTAGAGTGACAGATAAACAGTGTATAAAAGTCACATTCAAATATAGCTACAATACTAATATGGAATGTTTGTACAGCCAGCGCTGCAGCGTTGTTTGATTACTTACAAAAGCAGGTTTTTACGAAAATACCAAAGCCTCACCTTAAAACACATCTCCTCTTGCGGGCACAGCTTCTTCAGGATCGTGCCCTGGTCGGGTCCCGCCTTGAAGTTGCCCTGGTGCCCTGCTAGCTGTATCCACGGGTACCTCTGCTTCTTATAGGTCTGGAAGAACGGCGTCCACTGCACTATGTTGCGGAGTTTACGCCATCTTTCTGATTGCTGGAAAGAGAGAGAATAATTTTGTTAGACAGTCGTACAGCTAAATGAAAATGAAATATTTTATTCAGCGACACAAAACAGCATCAAAAATATGATACCTACAAAAGTAAATTTAAATAGAGTAGGTAATGTGCTTGTCACCGAAACGGTATCCACTCAGCATCATGCCGATAAAGTAATGCCGGTCATCATAAATACCGACTCTACATTGCTCTTTTGGTTGCAAAGTAGTTCTGCTCTTTACAGAATTAGAATCCCTGATCACTGCAGAATTGTCAGTCTTTAAGGAACTTCACAGTTACACACAAGAGAGTGATGACTAAGGTTGAGTTGCATCATCTTACTTTAACTTTAACAAACGTCAAAAATCTGTCAAACCCCATACAAAAAACTACGGTTATCGTTATTACGGTCAAAGTCGATGCAACTCAGCCTAAGAGGTTCAGTTCACAAAAGTTATTTTTACTTTTGATGTGGCCTACAAAAAATACAGTTCTAAGATAGTAGGTATGAGGTTTTTTACCCACTCGATCGTCCGTTGGATTTTATTGGTTTATAATGAAGTAATTCCCACATATTTCTAACGCATTTTCCGGGTTAAAATTAACAAAGCGTCGGATTTTAGTGTCAATCATTATTTCGGGATATCCCGTTAATATAATTTTACGCAAATATAAAAGCCTAAACGTCATTGGTTATTGCTATAATTAGCTTAGGTTATCTGACTAGCCACCCTGTTTTTATTTATGATTTTCTTATCATTAAGGTCGACTATCTTTAAACACTTGACATTGAAGGCAGTGACCAGAGACAGATTATAATTTTTAAGGACGTCGCACATTTATCAACCCGGAAAGGGTTCGTAATCATATCAACTCAAGGCGGTCAGTATTCTTTGTATGAAACTCCATACGCTCCAATGCCTCGCCTCGCAATGAGGGTTTTCGCGAATGAAAAAGATCCGCTAGATGGCGGGACGTGGATGTGGGGTCTGACTGCTGCGTGATTGGTGGATTTTGACATATCTGTCAATGTCATGTCAAAAATAACCAATCATGCAGCATTTGGACCTCGCGTCTACGTATTGCCATATGGCGGATTTTTCATTCGCGAAAACCCTCATTGACAGCGCACGAAAGGCGATGACAGTTCGCGAAAGGCGATACGGTGTTGATCCCTTTCCGAGTTTAAAAGTCTGCTATGAGCTTTATAGTGTCTTTATGCGAAAGTGGAATACTACAGGAATGCTCTTCCAATAAAACCATTAATAGGCAGTTTAAATTCTATTATTTGACAGTGATACTCATCTTACATCACGTTCTTGCAATATATTATGTTCTCAGCTAGTACTAGGTACCGCCGCTTGACTATTGTGGTCAACCCAATCGTAACACAAGCATGATAATTTTAGCTTAGTACGAGGGGTTAGCGGGAATTAAGGAAAAGTTTTTTATTGTCGCCGATTGTGCCTATCAAATTAGTAATTATGCGACATTATCTTGTGTAGGTAGAAACTCAATATTTAACAGTTTCATACTTGTCGATTATCGTGACCCTGTTATGTACTTATAAGCATTGTTCAAAGTCTTTGCGTGGCCATAATAAAACAATATTTTTACTATGATGACGCCAAACTAATTATGAGTTGATTAACGATTTTCCCACACATAAACAGAGCAAATAATCGCGGTAATAATATTGTGATAATAATGTAATAATAATATAATGATAATATATATAATAAATAATTAAACCGAACATTAAACACATTATTATATATCACAATATCGCAATAGCGACATCCCAAGCTTATCTAAGGAAGTATATAAATATCTATAATAGGGGTTACTTTATACCTGCTTATGTACAGACTTAGATCACATTATTTAATGACACCTAAATTAAAAACAAAAATCTAGTATCCATCTATCGTTCGTGTTATAGAAAACTCTATGCGTCTTCTGTAATACAACATTATTTAAAACTCTTTTTAACCGTGTAATTTAGTAATTAAAATTAATATTTAACACTAATTAACTACCCGAAAATTCACAACAAATAAACTTTCATTATCCTGCAAAGGGATATTAATAATTATTTTATCAAAACAACATTCCTAATGTGTTCCTAATACTACATTAATTATGTCAATACAAACTGAAAAACAAATGAACTGCGTACAAACTGAAGATATGAACCCTAATTACAACTATAGTAAACAGGTAATTAAAGTAATCATAAACTGACGTCACAAATTAACATTACTGATAGAGTGCAATAATTATTGAGATTATGTTAGTATTAAACATGATTTCCCTTCAAAATGGCTACGGATCATCAGATATATTTAAGGAATAAAACAAGCGCTGAAAAATAAATTAACCAAGTTTTCAATTTACTGTAAAATTAGATTTTTCATAGAAGAAAATAGTCCATTTTTTCGCGAACAAGTGACATAAGTTTGTCATCAAACTCTATGGGAGAGTTCCGTTATGACAGCTCATAAAAAAATTCAACTACTTAGGCAGAGTTGTATTATCTAACTTTAACCGCAACTATAACGATAACCGGTGTTTTTTGTATGAAGTTTGACGGATTTTTGACGTTTGTTAAAGTAACATGGTGCGTTAGTGGTGGCGTTTTGTAAAATCAAATGATGACAGATCTTAATACTTTACGTGAAGTGACAATGAACCTTCCTAACTCGTCATGCCAATGTCTACGTGACTACGTTGATAGTAGCATTGTCATCAAAACAATTAGCCAAAATAGGGCATATCACACATACACATACTAAGTCTTTTAAAATAAATTGCGTCACTGACGCCGAAATCGGCCATGTTTTTGTTCCTGGTAAACTCAAGCAAAGGTTTCCTTCCAAAAAACAGTAGGTAACTATGCAATTAAAACGATGAATTTGGGAAGGGGAATTAAGAGGCAATGAGCAGGGCACATAGTACGCAGAACTGGCGGCCGATGGGGTAGCATGGTTCTGGAGTGGAGGCCGCGTACCGGAAACGCAGCGTGGGACGTCCTCACACAAGGTGGACCGACGACATCGTAAAAATAGCAGGAAGGCTCTGGACGCAGACCGCTACCAACCGGGCAGCATGGAAAGCATTGGGGGAGTCCTATGTTCAGCAGTGGACGTCCTATAGCTGAGAATGATGATGTTGATGAAACTCTATGTAATTTTATCGAAATTTGCCCAAGGGAAAATACATTTGGAATTGCACTTCTTCGTAAGCGAAACGGGGAAACCGCTATTAATAAATCCACAGCGCACCTTTATAGGTGCTGATTACGTGACATTTATTAATATAATATACTTATTGACGTCACGTCAGGTGTTGCAGTTTCCGCCAAATTGATTTTTAATAGCTATCAGTTGCAAGAATAACTTGTCATCATAGGATAGCAAATACTATTTTTAGCTCTTTAAGAAACCTACTTATGCATCAAAACAGCCCAAACCCAACATTACTGTAAGTAAATGATGATGATGAACAGCTAACTTTAGCAATATACGTCACGCTTAATAGTTTTTTTGGAAACAAAAGAATAATTTTACTGTTACAGGAAACAAAAACCCATGTCATTTGGAGACAGTAAAGTTTCCTAATGGTAAAAGTTATTTTTAGCAAATCATTAACTGTAGCAAATAAAATTATTATATACCTTCTTAGTATTGCACACATAGGCACAGAAGACCACATCCACAAAATCCTCGATCGTAAAATTGCAGCTTTTTGAATGCATCTTCAATACCCAATTCAAGAATGATCCCACTAAACTTCACGAATTAAAACAAAACACTGCTGCAACCTCTTTAGTTTAAAAAACAAAACACAAAACCTTCACGAACTTTTTAAAAACAAAAACACGTGTTTCCAAATTCAAAAGTTTGAATATCAACGGTTCGAACTGCGTGGTGTTTGGGTAAGCACTGAGTGGAGTCACGTAACATTCGCCAATATAAGCCACGGTATCGGTGACTCAACGACCACAACACAAGTGTGACGTAAATCAAACGTTGTACTTTAAGTCAATGCAACCCCATTGGCGGATGCTACGTCTGCAGGCGTGAACTAATGGAAAACGCAGTTTCTATACGCAGACGGTTTCACAAAATTTGAGCGTGATTCACGGTACAGTAACTTATCGGTTTGGACTTTGTTTTGAACCTAATTCGTAGCTCGTGGGAACAATATTACCAAATATCTCTAGAGAATATTTTATACAAAAAAATATGCCAAAGTATATCAGTATTAAAAACATAAGGCGAATGGAATTCGGGGGATACCCCCAATGACCGACAGCGACTAATGATATCTTGTAGAGATTTATATATGACTTTAGGATCACGATGAAATGATTTTAAATCGAGTAATTTTGCCACTTTACCTAATCGGAAAAAATATAAAAGTTTTGGAATAATAATAAAGGTACCTACATAATACAAAAGATTAATTACCGATTGATGATTTATCGTACTCTCCAAAGGCTCTGACTGAAGCTTACAGAATCTTGTTTCTTTTTCAGATACTCAGAAAGATACCTACATGCCTGAATTATCCTATCCAAGTTGAATTGTAGAGACGATGCGATAAGAACTAGTAAGAATGGTTCCTTAAATTGTTGAATAAACTTTATCTCAATATTTTCTGAAGACTTGTGCACATGTGTGTACAAAATTCCTCATAAAACAACCTTATAAGCTTTAACTAATTGGTAATTAATACATGTAGCAGATACTACATAACTGTTCTTTATTACGATTACCGTTTCCTATTATTAATAGTGCCGTTACGGTACAATACATACGGACGACTGCACATCAAGCTAATACTAGTAATAATAAAGTTGTAATAGGTGTGATTTTGATGCAAAAAATTACCCGGCTATATTTTAAAAACGGGAAAAGGAAATGTTTTAATTACTATTAACAAGGTTTACACAAACTATACAGTTTTCAATTTCAATTGGAGTGCAGTAAGTAT